AATTATAATTTATATTGCCGGCCCTTAGACTTCCCAGTCTATTAGTTTTTTGGAAAAATTTTGTACGAAGAGCACCGGGACCTCATCCCACCCCTTTAATAATAGACTGTCTGAGAAGCCCAAGTGCCGGCGGCTACCTTGCCCAACGCATTAGCATAGTCATACAAAGGGGGAATGCTGCCAGTATCTTGGGCGCCTTGCCGCGGGGAGTCTATTCATATACCTAATTTAATCCTAGTTTTACTTTCTAGTACCTATTCAAGCTTTTATTACACCTTTCCTGTAATTTGTGATTTGTATCAGTGGTAATAAAAACCTTACGAAATTTGGAATACCATTTATATTTTGTTATAATTATGTACGTTTTATTTTCGTAATTATTCCTCCCCTGATCCTTATTGATATATTTTTGCTTTGTTCCGAAGTTCACCTCATTTTTACATAAAAATTACACCCGTTTTAAAATAAAAATACAAAACAATCGAAAGTACCTACCTTAAACGCTTCGAGAAGCCAGAAAATAAGAAAGAAAGAAGCATGAAAACTCATTAATCTGTTTTTACATGTAAGAAAATACAGTGTTTTTCTTACAACGACACTGCTTAGGCTGCTAACAGATTGACTGCATGTTTGCAGTTAATGCGTGAAGTCGTAAGCAATTTCAAGCAGCCGAGACCTCGACTACATGACGTTGATTACTACTTCACGCATTAACTGCAAACATGCAGTCAATCTGTTAGCAGCCTTAATTTTTATTAGGCCTATCGCCCCCCTCCCTCTAGGGTCGCGCTAATGCGCGGTGATCGTGCTGCTTTTCCCGCCAAAAAGGTACTCACCTTTTTGGTACTCACTAATACTTGGTGACATGGGGTCAAAACTGAACAATTTTTGTCATCATTTTACCGAGGAAACAAATAGGGTTTACAATAATGCTGTATGCATTTTGAATGTTGATTTTGGGTGCCTTTGATATGCTATAGTTAATGTTGTCTTAACTTAAATAGTGTGTTTTTGAGCGTTTTGCTAATTTTCCAGTTTTGGTCACACAATTTTGGTGTTTTATCTATGTTCACCAAAATTGTATTTTATCACCAAAATTAGAAAGTAAGTAGTTTTTTCTGTCATAAAAAGACTGTTGTTGGCTACAAATCAATAATGTTGAAAAACAAATTAAAGTCCAATGAATTTATACTTTTTCTGTGTCGGTAATAATATTTTTACCGGCACTGAAAATGTACAATCATGCATAATAACGACTCTTTTTTTATACCAAAGTAAGTGCGCATTTGACCTTCATCTCACCTGATGGACGGTGACCAAGAGGTCGACAATGGAGCATGCACACCTATATATTGCTTATTCACTGTCGCCTTGAAAAGGCCCAGGTTATAGCATTCAGGGAATAAGTCTGCAGGCAGAGAATTCCACTCCATAGTCGTTTGCCATATAAATGTGGAAGTGTAACACTTCATGCGAATCTTTGGCATATCCACAACATAGGGGTGGAACCCAAGCCTACGTCTAGTCTCCCGGTGAAGGGGAAGGCGGAATTAAGTCGTGTAATTCCATGGCATACTTTCCGTGGTATATCCTGTACAATATCGATAAGCAGGCAAATTTACGGCGGTGTTCAAGGATCTGCAGCTTCGCATCTACTAATTTCGTGTTACGTGTAAACCTCTTAGCACGCTTGTCGATTGAATCCAAGGTGACCATTTAATAGGTAGCAGAGCCATCCCATAGGTGACAGCAGTACTCCATACACGAACGGGCTTGTGTTTGGTACAGTTGAAGCAACTATCCCGGGGCGAAGTAACGTCTCACTCTGGAAAGGATGCCAATCTTCCTGGATGCATTTTTTGCCAAGGATTCTATGCATCTGCCGAAGTTCAAATTGGAGGACAGGTCCATCCTAAGTAACTAGAGACAGTCGGCTATCGGTATATATCACGAAAAGTCGGAGTCAGCTTTGACCTGACTGAACTCAGTTTTGTGGAAAATAGACACGCCTATGTTGTGGTAGCATTTGGACAAGATTGGCATCGCCCCAATCGGAGACCTTAAGTGTCAAATCCAAACAACTGACCGTGGAGACTCGACAAGACTGGTTGTCCTCTCCACTAACCCTTGTATTGGTTAAGTAACTACCTACAACTATGCAGTCGTCAGCATACGCAAAGACACCTGGAATTAACATATCATTGATATGCAGCAGAAAGAGAATTGAAGACAGTATGGAACCCTGAGGAACTCTGGCATCAATCACCCGATGTTCAGAAGAGTAGTTCTATGTAGTTGTAATAGTTCTAAGACCACTCGAATCGAACGTTTCCTCAAGAAATCCGAGATCCAATTGTAACGGTCAATGGAAGGCCCATAAGAGGGAAACTTGCTTAAAAGGCTTGCGTGCCAGACACTGCCAAAGGCTTTAGAAATGTCCAAAGATACTGCAAGTGCTTCGCCTTGCTTTTCTATAGCCTCGCTCCATACGTGACAGATATACACAAGATCCCCAGTAGATCGCCCCAGCCGGAATCCGTTTTGGCAATCACTAAGGAGGCGCGACAAGAGGCGGGTGTTGAGTACAAGTTCCATAGTCTTGCATAGAATAGAAGTGACTGAGATAGGTCTATAGTTGGCAGAGTCAGTTTTGCTTCCTCATATCGGCACAGGTTGCACGTTTGCAAGCTTCCACGACCTGGGAACTACATCAGTCTCTAGCGAGAGGCGATAGGACTATTGTTAGAATTCCATCTGGCCCACGCCGGGATCCGCAGAGATCTAAAGTATACCTCTTTTTGGCGTATGTGAACTGGTGCCATAGTGCAGCCAATCTGAGTGTGAGAGTGGTAGGTTCCCTGCGGTATACAGACGCGAACTCTCTGCAAAGAGTGAGGCAAAAAGATTCGCCTTCTCTTCCGCAGTATGGGTCAGCGAGCCGTCCGCCTTTAGCAGTGGTGGTAAAGATGGGCGACAAAAGTTAGTTTCGACCGCTTTGGTTAAGAACAAAAAGGATTTACTACCTGCCGGATAAGAGGCAAGCTTGGCTCTCATGCAGCGTATATTGTCGAACTTGGCCCTACGTAACACGTTTTTGCATTTCTTGGCCTTATTAAAAACATTCTTCAGATTTCGAGTGCTCGGAGCTTTGCGTAGTCGACCATCTGCCCAAGCTTGGTACGCGGACTGTTTTTGTGCGTCAGCACGGCTACAGTCAGCGCTAAACCATGGCGGAGCTTGGGACCATTGGATACCTCAGAGTATAGTATGTAATACTCCAAACCCAAACGCAAAACTTCGACTACACGCACAGCTCGACAAGTCTCTTGAAGAAAAGCAAGCCTTAGGGATATGAAGCAAAGAAATGGCGCATTTCGTCCCAATCTACCAACCTGTATCACCACACCCGTCTCATACCACTAGGGTTCTGATCGGGTGGGAAGTATACGGATACAGTTTTCACCGGACAATGGTCGGAAGTACCCAGTGGGATATCCTTATCACAGAGTATCGCTCTGGATCAGTTGTTAGCAGAAGGTCCAAGCAATTAGCCGTATGAGACTCATCATCTAAGATCCTGGTCTATATGGCTATTAAATATTTTTTTCTGATTTAATTTGTGTTTTTTTTCTCCAATGTTCTAATTTTGTTGACGATGTTCAATTTTGATGATCAAAAATTTCATTTCGATATATCTTTAAAAGTGCTTGACAATTTGAAGGGCCGGTAAGATATTCTTTTTGGAATTAAGTTTTAATATAATGACAACCCATAATATTTACTTAAAACACAAAATTAAAAATTGTCACCAAAATTAGGTAAAAAAACCGTACCTGTTGAAAGTGCCTGATTTACTTTGATAACGATCTGTGAGTATGGAGATGTAGGTGATTAAAACCGCATTTCTTTGAACGTCTAATGACTATTCGTAGCTCTACTCTCACATTTTTAACAAGTTGACATTCCTATCTCCAATATATTGTAAATTATTATATATGGTATTTACTTTACAAATTACTATTTTTATTATATTCCCTTTCCTTAACCTTGTTTCTCAGTAAATATTAAAAAACCTTTTATACATATAGGGTTTCTTTAACTTTACTAAAAATAAAAATTAAATATTGAATAAAAAAATAAGAAATCGAAGTAATTAATAGCTACCTATTGGGTTTGTAAATCCCAAACCCTAGATATAATTTAGTTGCATATACACAACACTGGTTAACTAATAGGAAATGAAACTATTTTTCCGGATTTAAATCGCGTATATTTGTTTTTTCAAACAAACCGACGTTTCGGGCCCTTTACAGGTCCCATGGTCACGGTTGACAGTCAACAAATATACGCGATTTAAATCGGGAAAAATAGTTTCATTTCCTATGTGTAACAATCGCGAAAACCTAAGAACTCGATACTGGTTAACTAAGTTTTCTAGTTCAACTTGTAGATCTAAAGGTTTTCAAGATTGATTTGGTGCTAGAATTTTGCCTGAGCAGAAGGCTTATTTAATTTAATTATAAAAACACTAGGTGCGGAACAATGCCGGAAACGCGTAAATCTTAAAAATCCCGCGTGTCCTGTTTGCGGCATCTAGCGGAATTATGTTGAACGACACGAGAAGAACGGCATTCATTTTCTTCTTGGCCTCCCGAACTGAATAAGGTGAATATTAAAATAAACAAGTACAATAATGTATGAAAAATAAAGTATAATAATTAAAAACGTGAGTTTTTAATTGTAAGTATTTCATTAAAAAACAAGCAGAAATATTTTTTACAATAGAAAAGATGTCCAAAGAATTTTTTTACGAGTTCCAGAAAACATAAACAAACATATTAAGCAAAACGGAACGTCAAAGTTTACAAAAAAAGTGTAACTGTGCGTGCGTCTTGTTAAATTCTTTTTATTTTATTATCTCTATTGTAGCTAAAGTAAGGTCAGAAGTGTATTTAGCACGCAATAACGATAATATTATTTAAATCCAATAATGTGTAGATAGCACTCGTAATGATACACACTCCCGTGCCTTAGTTTCGCTGTGACAGTGTATTGTGATAAAATAAACACATGAAGAATTCGAGATTTGATCTTCACTTGTTTTCATTATGACGAAGCGTCGAAGAATCTTTCACGCGGACAAAATAATACAAAATGTTGTTCATGTGTTCTGTTTGTTGATGTTTTTACAGTTAAAAGGTTAGTATAAAGTTGTGATTATAATTAAGAATGTTATCTTTGGAATGCTTTGCATGGTAGCTGTCAAACAAAATTTGTTGAACCAAAATAAATCCTCAGTGCTCTATAGTACAATATCACCACTGATACCATTTAAATGTATTTTCAGATTATTACACAGAGGCAAGCAACCCATTATTACTATATTCAACATCAGCCGACATACGAATTATAGAAGTATCAGAATTACAGCCAAAGCTTACGAGAAACGACACTATTGTCAAGGGCCTAGAGCAAGGGTCAGCAGTGGATTTCCTCCATAGAAAAAACTTAATATGCTGGTCGGATCAAACTGCAGAGTTAATACAATGTATGAGCTACAACAAAACACATTCAGGAGAAAAGGTAAAAATTTATTCAGTTATATATTTATATATACAGTGGTGGTCGTTTAATTAGAAACACTTCTTATGATTTAAGGAAGTTTAACTTCAACGTATAATAAAATATATATATAAATTCAATAATAAATAATCATGCAATAATATAGCCACTCAAATAAAAAATCATTAAATGCATTAAAAATAAAACATATCTTACTTTTAATTATAAAATGAGTCTTACACAATGTACGAGTATATTTTCTGTTCCTGGCCGCTTGGACGTCTAATTAGAAACATTTGAAATAAGCATCTATAGCTCGTTCTTTTTTTGAAATTGAAGAATAACATTTCTTTCCTGATGTTTTCTATTAATTTGGCGGCAATTCAAAATTAGATCTGAATTTAATTTTGTTCAAAATGGGCAAAAATAAAAGTTATGACGCGTCAAGTAGGCAAATAATTGTTAATTTACATTTAGATCAAAAGTGGATGTACAGAAGAATAGCTGAGCATTTAAATTGCTCTGTGAAGAAAGTTTTTAATGCAATTGATCACTATAAAACTCATGGAACTGTTGAAAATGTTCTTAGAAAGGCTCGGCCAAGAAAAACCTCTCCCAGAGAAGATAAGCTAATCGTTCGTGTTGCTAAAAAAGACCCATTTAAAGGCTCAAACCAGATTAAAAATGAAGTTTTTTCACCTGATGACCCCAGAAACGTTTCATCAAGACTGATACGCTGAAGATTAGTGGAAGCTAAATTGTTTGGAAGAACCTCTCGAAAGGTACCACTTCTTACCAAGCAACATCGAGAGAAGCGATTATTATTTGCAATAAAATATGTTAATTGGATGGTACGAGACTGGAAAAACTTTTATTTTCAGGTGAAATGAAAATAAACATGGTAAATTCAGATGGAAAGCGCTATGTTAGAAGTCCTGTAAACAGTGCTTTTAATTATAAATACACAAGGAGCATAGTCAAGCACTCTGGATCAATGGCAGTACAAAAATATCTTAGAGGACACAATGATTCCCTACTCGGACGATCATTTGCCTGTAACCTGGATCTTTTAGTGTGAGAATGATCCTAAACACACGGCCAATAGCGTCAAATGCTTCCTTAGGGAACAGCGTATATCCATTTTAGACTGGCCAGCAAATAGTCCGGATTTAAACCCAATAGAAAATCTGTGGTATATTGTTAAGAAGAAAGTCTCAAACAAACGTAACACCAGTCAAAACGAATTATATGAAGCATTTGTTGAAGCATGGAATTCAATCCCCCTAGAAAAATGTATGACATTGATTGAATCAATGTCACGTCATTGCAGAGCTGTTATTGAAAATAAGGGATATGTCACTAAATATTAATTATAAATATTAGTAGGCTGTGAATAGTAGCTATTTCGTAAATAAAAATACTAATTGCTAATAATTAATAAAATGTTGTTTTTTTACACTTTTTTGTTGTTGTTTCTAATTACTTGTCCATTATTGTTTATACCTTAAAACTGATTTAAGTGTTTGTCCGTAATGTAATATTGAAACTGCAGTTGTGTAGTGGGATTTATATTGTTTTTCTAATAAATAATAAATCATTGAACCTATTGTTGTTCTATTTATTGTTTAGTTTCAAAATAAAAACGATTGCGGTGAAGTTTCTTACATAATGTCAAGGACCGTTTGTAGTGTTCCTAATTATACGACCACCACTGTATATATATATATATATATAATATACTATCTTCATATACATATTATCTTAAGGACTAAAATACATATGATATAATATAAAAACTAAATAACTAGTCTACACAAACACTTGTTGCGGTGAAAGCTAACTGGCCGCAGAAATGTTGATATATGACAGCCCTTCAGCCAAAACACCTACTTCGTCAAAGTCGATATGTGTTTGGTCAGCACTCACCACAAACAAATTAAAATTCACGTTTGGGCAGGACTCCAGCAGGCAGCTGGGGCAGACTAAAAGCCAAATACACCCTGAAGGTCGAGTGCCTCGGGGTGTATTTTAAAATGCAATTTTGCCGATCATAAATAAGCGTCAGTTGAGAGATAGACTAGTGCTTGGGGTGCGCGACGAGCGCCTGCGGCGTGAACTGTTGACGACCAAGGACCACACGAATGCGTGTACTGTTCAGTACTCTCTCAACAACCACGTGACGTTCCCAGACTCGTACCCTGAAGCTAGTGCATTATGGCAAACACCACAAAATCAAAATGATCCTATGGCAAAAGACAAAATAAAATCAGTGGATTATAAACACTGTGCCCAGGTTGACAAACCAAATGAGCGGTGCCCCTTTATTAAGGCTTAGTGTTATTATTGTAAACGCCATGGGCACATAACTCCAGCTTATGTCTGCGCTGAAAAATCTTATGCACCTATAACAGTAGACGTGGTTATTAATGATGCTTGATTACGGTTGGAAATTGATTCTGGAGCCTCAAGAATCATCATATCTGAAGACACATTCAAAAATTTGTGGGTGACCCGCCCCCATTAAAGTCGACAAATGTGGAATTAGTTACTTGGACCCGGGGTCCTTTAAAAGTGCTAGGGTTGGCACATGTGCAAGTAGTTTTAGGTGATAAAGCGGCCCAGTGTGAACTTGTTGTTGTTGCGGGCAGTGGACCGAGCTTGCTTGGTAGAAACTGGTTTGACAAATTAGGGCTACGATTGCTTGGTGTGTGTTGGTCAGAAGAAAAAGTAATTACATGGAAGAAGAAATATCCGAATTTGTTTAAAGGAGGTTTGGGTGAATATACGGGGCCACAAGTGTCATTGCACGTACGACCAGTGACGGGGCCACGATTCATGAAAGCGCGTCCTGTAATGGTACATCGGGAATGGTGGCGATGAAGCAACAAGTGGAAGACGAACTGCGCCATATGATTGAGGAAGGCATTTTGACACCAATCAAATATTCTATATGGCCACTCCGTTGAGAATTGTTAAGAAAGATGACGGTTCTTTGCGTATCTGTGGAGATTACCGTTCTACAGTCAATGCTCCAATACATGTTGCCACATACCCTCGTCCTACACCAACAGAGGCATTCTTGAACTTTGCAGAGAAAGTATATTTCGATACCTCCAATGAACACTACGCCATCTTTATTTTTTGGTCATCTTCTGTTATTTTTGTAAACAGCCATATTTATTTGCCTTAGTAAGTATGGCTGCTTAATATAAATATAATCTTAATCGTGCTCCCCGAATTTTGTAAAAAAAAGAAACAAGAACAAAAAAAACGAATTTTGTAAAATAAAAGAAACAAAAAACAAAATAAAAACAGAGCAGGTCCAAAAATTAAGTTGGCTTAGTGTTCATTGAAGGTATCGATTTAGTAAATTAGACTTAAGACAAGCGTATACTCAGCTCAAGGTAGATGAGGATACAGCAATGCTGCTGACTTTGAATACACCCATTGGACTAATGAAAATGAACCGCTTGGCTTTTGGAGTAAGTGCAGCAACTGGCATCTTCCAAAGAGTCATGTCCACGGCACTGGCAGACATGGAGGGAGTTGCATGTCTCTTGGACGATGTAGGTGTCACTGGGGAAATATGCAAGAACATAACCATCGATTGGATGCCGTGTTGAATAAACTCCAAAACATGGGATTTCGATTAAACATTAAAAAATGCATTTTTGCCTCCCAAAGTATAACTTTTTTGGGTCATATGCTGAATGCCGAAGGACTTCATCCATCTCCTGATAAAATAGAAGAGATTCAGGACAAACCAGCACCCATTAACAAACAGACATTCAGAGCATTCTTGGGACTGTACAATTTCTACGAGAAATTTTTACCTGATAAAGCAACATTACTGGAACCATTGTACCGTTTGCTAGACGTGAAGACACCATGGACGTGGGGTGACAAAGAGCACGAGGCATTTAATAAAGCGAAGAGCATCTGTCATCAGACTGTACTTTACTTGGATATGACCTAAATAAAGAGTTGTTATTGATTTATGATTCATCGGATTACGGCTTGGGAACTATTTTGGCCCACGTCATGGAAGATGGATCGGAACGTCCGGTGATGATGGCGTCGCGTACATTACAACCTCACGAAAGACGGTACGGGCAAATTGATAAAGAGGCATTTGCGATAATGTTTGGACTCTTCAAGTATCTTAAGTTACTTAAGTACTTTAAGTATTACTCTGGAGCACAGGTTCGTAGCTCGTGCCGGAGTCTGTGTGTACGTTCGCGATGACATCTGTGTCAAGCGTCTCAAGAACCTTGAGGCACCGAGTTTTTCCATTTTGTAGCTTCTGGTAGACACAGGAGTTACACAAATAGTGTACTGCTGTGTTTACCGATCGCACAGTGGAGATCAGGAGACGACCAAGCTGTTCCAATATCTGAGTGAGACGTCTGATGAGATTCAGCATAGATACCCAGCGGCGCAACTAGTCATTCTGGGGGACTAATGCACACCATCAAGAATGGTTGTTCCCATACCAGAGGACCGATCACACTGGGAGAGAGATGCGTAAACTTGCGTTAACGCTAAGTCTATCCCAGCTTGTCAGTGGCGCCACTAGGATACCAGATGTTGAATTTCATGCGGCTAATTGCTTGGACCTTCTGCTGACAACTAATCCGGACCGATACTCTGTGGTTGTGGAGACCCCACTGGGTACTTCCGACCATTGTCTGGTGAAAACTGTATGCGTATACTCCCCACCCGATCAGGGCCCTAGTGGTATGAGACGGGTGTGGCGATACAAGTTAGCAGATTGGGACGAAATGCGCCATTTCTTTGCGTCATATCCCTGGCAGGCGTGCTTCAGGAGATTCGACGAGCTGTGCTGATGCTGTAGTCGAAGTCTTGCGTTTGGGTATGGAGTATTACATACCATAGTCTGATGTACCCAATGGACCCCAACTTCGTCCATGGTTTAACACTGATTGTAGTTGTGCTGAAGCACATAAACAGTACGCGTACCAAGCTTGGGCAGATGCTCGACTACGCAAAACTCCGAGTAC